GTATACAATATAATGATATTCAATGTTGGAAATTTGTACATTTACATAATCTTGGTTCTTATTTTTTCCCCATTGCCCTGCCTCCCTTCAATACCTTCCTCCCTATCTGCAAAGACTTTGTTTCCGTTATTTTTTTCTCATATTTCTATAATTCCCTTCTTTCCTTCCCACCACCCCTCCCATTTCCCCTTCCTCTTTGTCCCTTTTCTTCCTATTTTCATTATATTTTTTTAAATATGAAAGTGTACATTAAGTTAAACAAGCATTTGAATCACTATACCTAAAATTACTGTCTTCAAAATATTTTAGATTGAAGTACGTGTTACAATAATTTCATGCTATTTTTAATGGAATATTACTGTTAAAATGCATCTAAAGTCAAGGAAAAATGATAAATATTAATCATATTGGCGATTTATGCACACACACAAGACATTAAAAACGGCCTACATTTTGACCTAAGGATTATGTTTTATGTGGTATTCTTCCACATGTCTTTAAATATAGAAACATTTCCTAAGGCAAAATTATTTAAAGTGGAATAAGTTAAACATTTCAATCTATATGACAAAAATGAATATTTTTGGACATGAGGAAAAATGTATTGATAATTTGAGAATAAATGACTTTTAGTAGATTCCATTGCATTTATTTCTTAGATAATACATACATGTATTTCTTTAATTGTAAATATTTCAATTATGAAATATTTAGATTAGGAAATAGATTATGAAACAGTTGTTCACCTTCATCTCTATTCCTCTCCCCAAGAATAAAGAAGGATTGACATTTCTAACTTCACTCAATATTTTTAGACTCTATTGTTTAATTATCTAGTGATTAATTAGCTGGAATATTTGTGACATAAATTGTTTGAAAGAGTAATGTGGACTTGATTTTAGTAAAGTCCTCCTAGAAACGCCAAGAATTAAATTTTTCTGCAGAGAATTAATAAACAAACAAATAAATAAAAACAAAAAATTCTAAACATTGTCACATAAAAGCTTTCCTCCATGTTACTAAATGGTACCCAATGAGTCTTTTCTGTTTAGAGTATAAAAATATTTGAATTTATGATCATCTAACTTAAATTGGCATTTGTTGAAAAAGTTTAATCAGTGTTTACCAATTTAAAAAAGGAAAATAAAGATCATTAATTGTATGGGTTAGAAATACAAAAAAACAGAATAACATATAGTTTCTCTAAAATAATGAATATCTTATTTCTCAAAATTGTTCTCACCTGCATTGAGTATATTAATTTGGTCCATCTTGCTTATTCATGCAGTTTCTTTGCTTTATTTGAAAGAGTTCTGAAAAAAAGTAGAAATATACACTAGAAAAGGTTTATATAGGAGTCAAATGTGGGACAAAAATGGAGTAAACTGAACTGAACTAAAATAGGTCTATTTTACTTAAAAATTTTCTATTTGATATATACTAAAATTTCTAAGTAGAGGTCATTAAGAAATGAAATGAAACAATAATGATGGTTAAATTTCCCTAGTAAGATAAGCAAACATATTAGAATGAGTATAATTCAATCTTACCTTTAATGTTTTAAACAAGAAAATCTAGTATTTTTCTATCTGCAGCTTTAATATATAACAATAATAAGTGTAAAAACATGGAAAAAAGAAATTCCTTCATTAAATCTGATAACATTCTCAAATGATAAATGAAAACAAATTAAACATATATTACATGTACTCGTATGAGATCTTTCAGGAAAAATTGTACTCTATGAGTCTGAGAATATGTATGGATAATTTGTTGTTTTTGTTGTGATAGAGTAGTTTGGAAAAAAGCAAAATCTCTGTCACTATTGACAACTCATCCATATATTCTGATTACATGAAACTAGTTTGCATTTTACAGAAGAGCCTATCCTTTTTTATATTACTGACCATTAAATGTGTATTTTTACTCTAATGACCTTATCAAGTAAATTATTGATACTTATATTTCAAAGTGTACAATGTTCATGTAAACAGAATAAAATTTCACAGTTCATTTTTATATAATAAAATATAAATTTAATACTCCCAAAAGTTTCTGTTACACCTAAATGTGCAAATTTCTTCTTAGAATACAAAAAGTATACCTTATGTTAGTAATCACACACACACACATGCACAGACTTACTGTATTTCTTCATTTCAGTAGAGCGATTTTATATTTTATATTCAACTTTTCAATAATTTCTGTTTAGTGTTTGCCTTTCTTGTTGCCTTAGTCAATTTTTCCCAAATTCGCTTTAGCCTAGGCTGGTAATTGGTCCCATTATAGCTCCAGAACCCAAATTCTCCACTACCCTATAAAATATCTTTATCTGTAAGCTGATTCCAAGGTCCTCAGTTCCATTTTGATCCACTATTTAAGATACACTTCATTTGTCGAACTCTTATTATTTCAATCTTTCAGGATAACCCTAATTACTTTTGCAATTAAAAACAAATAACAACCAGAAAATCAAGATGACACACATAATAGGAATTTCAGCATCTCAGCTTCTGTTTGTGTTCACCAGACTTGATTAAATAGTTTCTCTGTACCCAAAGCCAATGATTACTATTGGGAGGGATGTGTCTGTCTAAGTGTCTGTGGAAAGGAAACACACATTGATAATTAATCACTAAAACATAGTTCTATAAAATAGATTTTATGAAAAAAATCGACCCTTTTATCTGAAGCCTTAGATATGGTTTTAATGTAAATTGGATGAAAAAAATGTGACTTATGAAATGGACTCAGTGTGAAAAAAGTATGAACTGCATTTTATTTAAACCATCTCAGTCTCAAACATCCCTAGGTAGTTGTTTCAGTTCTCTTTGTTTAGCAGTTTTTAGTTAGTGTTTGTATTGTTGTTTTGTCTGTATCTGAGGACATTAATGCTTTTAATGACCTCACAAAGACTGTCTAAAAGAGTAAATTTAAAAATGTCTTATTCACACAGATATTATTATACTGCAGGAATCGCCTGTCCTAGACATTAAATGGTGCATCTCTCCAATGAAAGTAAAACCACTTTCAATTTAGTATATTATGCAAATAAAGTTTTAGGTTCTATATTTCCCATATAAGCACGATTAACTTCTGACAGTAAATGTTTAATTACAATGTCTCCATCCATGCAGCATAATTGCAATATAAATGCTTGGTAGCCAATCTGGTGCCTTCATTTATAATTAATATTATAAAATTGACATTAAATCCTTCTCCATTTCAGACATTGACACAGAAAAATTTGATAAAGATTTAATTATGTATAAGTTTGCTTTTTACTTTTTACTCTAATAAGGCATTTAAAAGGAAATAATGGACACGTAAACAAAGGCAGGAAGTTAAATTGATAATACAATAATATTTATTGTCTCTTAATGGCCAAGCCATTATCAGAAACCATGATTGAAATATATAATATCTGCCCTAAACTGTCACCTGTTTAGTGCAATCTGTGACTCCATAGGATATAATTAAATAAATTCCAAGCAAATTTTAATGAAGAAATCAAATACATTGCATTTTCTTATGAATAAATAACTGCATAAGGGACTTAGTAGCCCAAGTAAGCCCAAAAACTATATATTTTTAAATTTATACTAGCTAAACCATCAATATGATTTCTTTAATGATTAGTTAAACATCATATTGTCCTGTTTATTCACAATAAACATTATCCAATTTCAGAATAGGAATCTTACAAATATGTAATCATAGCCTCAAAGAAAGCGAGAGAATGAATGAAATTTATCATTACTTAAAAAAGAAAGAAAAGAAAAAAAATTGGTACTGGGGATCAAACTCGGGTCGTTGCACTTGCGAGTCTGAAGGGCAGAACCACTGAGCCAAAACCCTGGACTAAAAAAGGAAAATTTTTATAACAAATAATCTTTTATTTATTTTTACTGACTAACTCTCAAACAACAGAAATGTGGAGCTTTAAATGACATTTAACAGTATTTTTTTCAGTGTCATCATTTTGCTGAAAAACTGAAATAATTTAGAGATAGATTCAGACTAAGTATTAGTTTATATCTCTCATTCCAAGAGTCATTTTTCTAATCAACACTACTTTTCATAATATAAATAATATCTACTATTATCAGGGATATTTAAAAATTTTACCTCTTTTGTAAGGTCATTACTGATTCTAAATTCATTCAACTAGTCCCTAAATTAATGCTTTCTCACTTATTTTTTCATTAGATTAGTTATAAGTAAATAAAAGCACACTTATTAGTAGTCTTGCAATATGCAAATTTTAAATGCAGAGGAAATTTCAAGACATTTTGTTTGAGAAAAAGTCATACAATTATCAGTAAGTCGATTATTCCCTAGATTTTTATCTATGGTAAACTATTTAATCCATTTCATTTCTTCATTAAAATATAAAGAAAATTATGCAAATATATAATTAAAGTATAACTAAATAATGTTATTGAAAAATTTAAAATTAATGAGTATATTTTGAATTCTAAATATTAAACTGATTTATTTTACAAGAAAGTATAAACCCTTGGCATATTTAAATTATGTGCTGAGTTAAAATATGGAATAATTTTCTTGCAGCCAATTAAATGATGCAAATTAAATCAGCAGCTTGAAAAAATAAGACTAAAGTAGCTCCAATAATCTCTTCATTTTCATTCATATTTAGCTACTCTAATCCTTTGAACAATGTTGTATGTAATTTTATATCAGTTTTGTATGTACCATGCCACCAGTTACATAAATCTGAAAACTAAAAGTAAAAATAGTGCATCTCTTTTTCCTTATTGTCTTAAATTAGAGAGTGATTGCAATTTTACCTTGCATAGGAGGATATTTCAATTACTTTGAACAGGCAAACAGTATTTTCAGAATGTTAAAATGAGTTGCAATTGGTGCCAGGTGTCTTTTTCTGGCAAAGCAGTTTTGAAGAAGAAAATTAAGTAATAGTATCCTGCTTTTAAAAAGTCCGTATATTTTTCTTGAAATGAGCAATATTATCCAGTTATATATTATACTCATTGTCTAAATGAGTAAAACTATTTTTACTTATAAAAAATAATAACCAAAACACTCTTTGCTGGTTTCACTGACCACAGGTGTACATAAAGAAATGAATCAATATAATAATCACATGTCTGATGATTTAAAATTGTTCAGCAGAACCACAATCACTTAAATTGTTCTCAGAAAATTGAAGCTTTAATAAGTTTTGGTTAGGGTAAAACTCTTCATTGTAATAGTCTAAAGGTTTATCACTATATTTGTTGCATTACCCTTACAAAGGAGAGGCATAAAATTCAGTAATATAAAGTATTATTCCCGGATTATTTTCATTTATTCCTCACGGACAAAATTTCAAAGTTAACAGTCTCATTTGTTTCCATGTTAGCATAAAAGTACTATATTATAATATAACAATATTTTAATATATTTCAGCGAAATTTTAATATGTACATAATCAATCTGCTTTATTATGAGTAGCTGCTGTTTATTTTGCATCGATATGTAACTAAGTTTTACATAATTTATTTCTAATTTTCACAAATATTTCTAGAATTCATTTTCCTATTTGTTGACATTGAGACTCAGATTAAGTAACACGCAACTACTAACAGGAAATTTGTGTTGACACAATATCTTTTTTAATATGTTATGCTCCTTCAGTTCTATATAGAAATATTTTTCTTTCCTTTTCTTCTCTCTTTTGTTTCTTTCTTTCCTTACTTTTATTTTCTATACTGTTACTCTTCTTTTGGAGTGTGTGTGGTACCTGGGATTGAACCCACGGTCTTTGCACTGAAAAAAATTTCAAATCTGTCGATTTATTCATTAATAAATTATATGACCAGGGCCGCACTAAATTGCTCACGGTGGGCGTGAACTTGCAATATTCCTATCTCAGCTTCCCAGGGTGCTGAAACTACAGAAGCGCACCACAGAACCCAGCTGGAACATTATCTTAAAATAACCCATTGTTGTTTTGTGATTTCCAATAACCTGACACATGGCTTCCATATATGCCTTGGCAAGTGTGGGAGTTCACCATTCAACTGCTAGAGGTAACCACAAATATTTCAAATTACAATTTATTACATTTTAGAAAAACCATGGAAACCTCTCAGGGAAAAGAACCTACTAGTAAAATAAAAAGCTTTTCTTCTTAAAAAGGTGTATATACTTTTGGAAAAATCCCAAATTTGGTTGAATGAGCTAAATACAAAGCAGAGATGATAGGTGTGATATTGAAAGATATGAACATATTTAAACGTAAAAATATTATGATCTGTGGTTTTCTTCATTT